GCGCCTGGCGTGGACTGCTGTGTGGCTTCTTGGTGCCGCCACGGGGTCAGCATGCCAGTGAATGAGAGTGGACACTGGAAAGCACAGGCCACCCCAGCTGGAGCAGCCTTTGCTCATGGCCTGCTCATCACCGACACGCTTTCATTTCCAGTTCACTTTCGCTATGTGGTGTTCCATCCGTTCCTGGACGAGATTCTGATTGGAAATATCAAAGGCTGCAGCCCGGAGGGAGTGCACGGTAATGTTGGCCCTGAGTCCTCACATGAGACCCGGGAGCACGCTGGGGGCAGATGGCGGGGCTGGCCTGCCTCCCTTTAGCTTCTGTGCTGGGCCGCATGGTCAGGGGAGGGGTCACATAGGGAAAGAGAACCTTCCCGAGCTGTCTGAGCAGCTTGTGCGCAAGGGGGATACTCAGCCCCCTGTGCTCTAACTGTGCGGACCTAGGCCAGCTGGGGGCCGTCACTGCAAGGCTGTGAGTCAGGACCTCAGGGCAGGCACTGGAGCTGGCAGAGGTGACTCGGGGCCCTTGGCATCCGCTGGTCCCTGTCGTGCAGTGTCCACCTCGGGTTTGGCTGGCTGCTCAGGCTGTGGCAGAGGCGTGGGGCTCTGGGGTGGGGACGGGGCCCAGGGTTCCATGGGCAGCACAGGGTAAGGGCTTGCTTGTCCATTCTGAGCCCCGTCTCATGCTGTCACCTGCGTGTCTTCCAGTCTCTCTAGGGTTCTTCGATGACATTCTCATCCCTCCAGAGTCACTCCAGCAGCCGGCCAAGTTGTATCCTCCCAGGGTTAGAGTGGGTCATGGAGGAACTCGGGCCTCTCCAAAGGAAGGTCCTCACTCTTCGAGGTGGCCTTGGGTCCTGTGACCTGATGCTGCTGGCCTCTGCCCACCCCTCCAGCTTGCATTTTGCTCTGGAAGCACTGACCTGCCTGTGCTTCTCACACTGACCGTGGTGTCTGCACACCTGCGCCTCCATCTGGACTGTCAGGCCTGGTTCCAGCTCAGTGCGCTTAGGTTGTCCCTTCAGGAGTCATCTCAAAGGTCACCTCCCTCTAGAGGCCCGCCTGACTGGCCCACCTCCCCCCCTCAGCTAACATTTGAGGGCTTGGCTCTGCGGGTCCTAGGCTGGTTGAAGATTCCCGTTGCTGGCTCCCCCATTGTCCCTGTCCCGGCCCTTGCCTGCTGCACTGGGGTTGCTGTTTCTGTGGGTGCTCACCGAGACCGCTCACCAGGAGAGACCCCTCACCAGGAGAGACCCCATCTTGTCCCGACTGTACCCGCAATGCCCAGCATGGGACCTGGCGCAGAGGAGGGGCAGGACCCATCTGCGGGGCTGCCATTAGAGGGCAGCATGTCTCTTCGGTGTGAGCTCTGCTGATTGGAGGGGGGCCATCCAGCAGAGCCGGCAGTAGGGAGCCGGGGTGCGTGTGTGCGTGTGTGTGCGCGCGCGCATGTGTGCAGGGCAGGGGCTGTGTGTGGCTCTGGAACTTGTCAGAAAACCTGCTAGCCTGTCCCTCAGCCTGGTGACCTCCCATCCTGCCGTGTCCTCTTGGAAACTGGGCAAGTCCTTGGGCTGCCTGCTGTCAAGTGTCCTGAGGCACGGAGAGGGATGTGGAATTGCACTATGTGGAGAACGCTGGCCAGCGTCAGTGAGCACTCGGGCCGACCGAGGGGTCCTGTGGAAAGCACTTTCCACGTGTGCTGTTTTATTACCTCCCCACCGCAGCCCTGGAGGGCAGGCCTTACTGTAATCTGTGTTTTACAGATGGGGACCCTGAGGCACCGAGAGCTTGGGCCTGGCCCCGGTGGGTGGTGGAGCTGAGGTTTGAACTTGGCAGTTGGCCTCTGAGAGGACACACGGGCAGAGTAAGACCTCAGGCACCGAGGGGCTGTGGTCATTCCATGTTGAGGCAGAGCTCGCGCTGTGCTCTGGAGCTCCTTCCTGCGCTGGTGTCCCGTGGTGCCTGCCCGGGGTCCGTGTTCCCAGTGTGGATCCTGGTGCCCAGGAGATCCAGCCACTCACTGGGCCCGGCCCGACCTTGCCTGTCGCACACAGCGCTGGGCCTGCTTTTCCTGTGACTTCCCAAAGCATCTCAGCCTGGGATTGGATTTTCCTGGGGCGTGCCGTGGGAGGACTCCCCAACACTCTGGCTCCCCCGTGGCCTGGTTGTTGCCTTGACCCTGCGCCCCACCCAGCGATGAGGCAGAGCAAGTGTGGGTGTGGGAGTACGAGACGGAGGAAGGAGCGCACGACCTATACATGGACACCGGAGAGGAGATCCGCTTCCGGGTGGTGGACGAGAGCTTTGTGGACACGTCCCCCACTGGGCCCAGCTCAGCCGATGCCACCTCTTCCAGCGAGGAGCTGCCAAAGAAGGAGGCTCCATACACGCTTGTGGTGAGCTGTCCTCATAAGACTGCGGGGAACCGTGGGGCGGGAGGCCCCAGCAGGTCAGGGTGCAGGTCCCTGTTGTGGGGTCTTGGGCAGTCCCTTCTCCCTGGGGAGCCCCATTTCTGCAGGCCAGGGCAGCGGTAATTCTTTGTTTTTTCCTTATAAATTTATTTTTTGGCTGCGTCGGGTCTTTGTTGCTGTGCGCGGGCTTTCTCTAGTTGCAGGGAGCGGGGGCTACTCTTGGTTGTGGTGCGGTGGCTTCTCCTGTTGCGGAGCACGGGCTCTAGGCACGCGGGCTTCAGTAGTTGTGGCTCATGGGTTCTAGAGCACAGGCTCAGTAGTTGTGGCTCACGGGCTTAGTTGCTCTGTGGCATGTGGGATCTTCCCAGATTAGGGCTCGAACCCGTGTTCCCTGCATTGGCAGGTGGATTCTTAACCACTGCGCCTCCAGGGAAGCCCAGGGCAGCAGTAATTCTTGCAGCGAGGTCGTAAAGCTGCCATGGCTGCTGGGGAGGGCAGGGGAGTCAGGCCCCTGCCCACAAGAGGGATGACACCAACTGGACAACAAGGCTGTGGGTCAAGGGGCTGAGAGAGAAGAAACCAAGGGAGGGGTGGGCTGCTCCCACTACAAACCCACAGGGCCTGAGGTGGCAGGGAAGCTGCAACCGGCCAGATCTGACTTGGGTCCCTTTTGTCTTTTATCCTCATGAAGCCAGACAGTGAGCGACACATGACAAAAGTGGGATTTCAGGGGCCTGCTGGTAGGGTTTTCTGGTATAACGTGGGCCCCGTAGTTCACTTTTAGGGCACCTGTCTTTGTCAGGATTGTGGGTGGCCCAAGGCTTCCCCTCTGCGTGTGTTTGGAGGCTGGGGCTCAAGGTTACTAGGCCTTTCTGGCAGAACTAGACCACGAGTGGCTCAGAAGCCAGGCCCAGGACTGGTCTGCTGGTGCCTGTGTGGGCCAGGCCTGGGGGCGAGGGGTGAGAGGCTGTACCCTCGGTAAACCAGCACTTTCCTTACATGCCTTAGGAGAGGCTGGAGCAGGAGAGGGGAGTCTGGACCAGCGGGGAGTACTGCTGCAGCTCCGGCATGTCCCCAGAGCCTCCTGGCTGGGGTGTGCCCCACCATCCCTTTGGCCTGTGCTGGGCGCCTAAAAAGAAGGGCCCCCATTGCCTCCTGTCCAGGTTGGCTCCAGCTCTAAAGGTAGATGAAACATACCTGTTTTCTCTCCCCCTGGCAGGGATCCATCAGTGAGCCGGGCCTGGGCCTTCTCTCCTGGTGGACTAGCAGCTAGCACTGGGGCTTTGACACTGGACCCTGCCCAGCCCTCGGGAAGGTGGTGCGGCGGGTCCTGAAGACGACAGGATGCCGAGGAGCAGCCTGTGCCCTTCCAGGCTGTCCCCTCCCCTCCTCCTCCCAGACCTACCCCGCTAAGTCCCACCGTCCACATGGACTTCTGCCTGTCAGTGACAACAAAGATATTTAATAAATGATGGCCACGTCAGTTGGGAGAGCCACCATTGTCTCAGTGTTCTAAGGTTACCGAGTTGCCACAGCTGGGACAGTTCCTCACCCCGGATCACTTCTGGAGATGACTTAATGGCAGGACTTGGGGTCTGAGAGATCCAGGCTGCCTCAGGCTATGCTCTGGGCCAGCTGAGCTTGGTGGCTCCATAAAGTAACAGCAAGAGGCTGGCCTGGGGCAGCTGCCAGTTGCTGATCAGAGTCTGACCTTTAAGGGAAAAACCCTCTTCCCACCAGCGTGTGGAAGGTGGGGCGGCCTGGACTCAGCTGACCAGCTCCGTCAGGAAAGTGGATGCTGTGGATTTTGCTGGCCCAAGGGGGTGAGGGCTGGTGACCTGCTGTTGTTACTCCCCCACCAGCAGTAAAGCAGGAAGCCTCGGGCCAGCTGTCACTTTCCGACCTTGGCCACACCAGGAACAAACACCCAGTGGGTGTCTGCTTGTGATGTGAGATCCTGGCACCAGGGCAAGCACCCCATCATTTACTCAGCAGAATGGCTTTGCCAGAGTCCTGTCCCTTCACTCATTTCTGCCAGGAATTTTTGCCGGGACCAGGACATCGTTTTGTAGCACCCACCCGACGCCAAAGTCTTGTCCTAATGAAGGAATCTCCGTGGAGCCTGCCTCCTGCCCTGGCCTTTCTGCTCACATGGACACAGGGCCGTGGAGGTATGAGTAGTGCCAGTGGGCAGTGCTCCAGGGAGAGGAGCAGTTGCAGAGCAGTGCCTGCGGCCGCCCTGTACTAAAAACTAGGGAGCAGTACACATATGGACTAGCTGTGACCTTGGACGTGGTGGTCTGTCTGTAAAACAGACACTCTCTGGGCATTTGAAAGGCAACTCGATGTCCAGGGGAAGTGGGGGCTGCATCTTGGGCCAACCCCCCCGCCCCCATTGGGGAAACTACTGGAATGTGTGGGCGTGGGGAGGAGAGGCTGCAGGCAGAAGCAGGGCGGGAAGGAAAGTGGGAAGTCTGGTGATGGGTCCGGCTGTGGCGTGGCTGTCGGCGTCCACTGACTCTGGCTGTGAAGGACCCCCCGCCCCACAGGCTAGAGTTGGTAACAGCACAGACACCATCACTCACAAAGGAACACTCACTGAATCTGGATTCTTATTTTCCTTAGAAGAGCAAAAGGATCTTTCGAACCCTTCAGCCACCAGTGAAATGATCATGCAGGAGAAAAACTTTAGATGGGAGTCTGTCGTTAAAAATAAATACAGTTGCCCAAAGCTGCTCAAGATCTGAACCAAACTAAAAACAGGAAGGTGGGGGGTTGATACGTTATTTTAAGAACCTCCCCACCCCCACCTGTGGGTCGCTCCATGGGCGGAGGGAAGAGAGGCCAGGAGGCCTGGCCACACCATCTCGGTGGTGAGCGAAGCCACGGCTGGATCGGATCAGATCCGGTTCTGGTGACGCAGAACTGCACTTGTGACACCGGAGCTGGGTCCGAGGAGCAGGACGGGCGGGCGCTGGTGGCAGAGCGGACCTTACTTCTGCTGCAGCTCCTTCATTCTGTTCAGAGCACTGCCAGCGCGGAACCACTCGATCTGGGTCTCGTTGAAGGTGTGGTTCAGGAGGATGGTCTCCTGGGTCCCGTTGGGGTGCTTGATGATGCATTTCAGGGGCTGGGAGGAGGAGGGGGAGGGAGGCAGGTGTGGGTGGCCTGGCTCTTGGGAACACGGCCCTCGGTTCTGGTAGAGGGTCAGGAGGGTGGGTCAATGCTCTGGGTCCTTGGGGCCAGCAAGGCGAACCAAATCCTAGGCCAGGTCTGGGCCTAGGTGGCCATGGTAAGACCTAGATGGCTTAACTCCTGGGGCCAAGAAGGTCCTGCCGGGCATGGGCTGTTGGCCTCTGAGTGCCAAGCCTGGGCTACTGAGTGGACGGTAGGAGGGCCTGAACTGGCTCTACCCTCATCTATGGGAAGGCATTTCCTTCCCTCTCTAGGGGGGTTACCTGGAGAATTTAGGGGCCCTTCTAGCTGGAACAGAGGCTCATGGGAGGAGGTGCAGGTAGGGCCAGGTTTAGAAGGAGGGTAACCAAGGTGTCTGCCCCCTCCATTCCCCTCCCCTCTTAGGAGGGCCCTGGGGGAAATGGGCTGGCTGGTCCACCTCCTTCCCTGGTCCCCTACCTTGCCAGGGGTAAAGTCCTTCAGGCCCTGGATGGTCAGCTTGTCCACAGGGTGAATCTTGTTGTAGTCAGCTGGGTCAGCGAAGGTGAGGGGCAGTAGACCCTGCTTCTTCAGGTTGGTTTCTAGAAGGCAGAGGGCACACTCAGTCCATACACGGCAGGTTCCTTTTGTGAGGAACCTCACCAACCAAGTCTAGTTAAGGCTCTGGGAGAGGCACCCCTAGTCCTGCCACATGGGGACAAACCTGGGGCATTGACTACGAGGACCAAGGTGGCGCACTCCCAGTGATGTGGGGCCCTATGCAAGTGTGCTTTGGTGCCTGTGTTTCCTGAGGCCTCCGACAATCAGAGACAATCCTTTGACCACGTGCCCTGGATTTCAACTGCTACAAGTTTGGAAGCAAGACCAGCACATGCTAGAGGTGGGAAGCCGTGGGTGTCAGAATCCACGCAAACCTGAAGGGGCAGAGGCTGGAGGCTGGTGATGGTGGAAAATGAGCTGCCGACACGCCCTAGGAACCAGGCGTGTGGCTCCAGGCCCCACTGGGCCACTGGCAGGTTGAGGAACCTTGGGCTGCCAGCGAGGGGAGGCGGACGGGGCTGGGATGGCGCGCCAGCTCACCGTGGATCCTGGCGAAGCTCTTGGTGATGATGGCCCGGCCCCCGAGGTGGCGAGGCTCCAGTGCCGCGTGCTCCCGGCTCGAGCCCTCGCCGTAGTTCTCATCTCCGATCACCACCCACCGGATGCCATGTGCCTGTCAGGAAAGTAAGGAGCGAGTTTATGAGGGAGAGGAGGGCACTGGCCCCCCTCCTGCACAGTCCTCGGGCTTCCTAAGGCTCATAGGTCAAGGAGCTAGAGAGTCCCCTCCTCACCTGCTCCCCAAGGACAGGTGAAGTTAGAGGTGAATCTGGCCCAAACCAGGCCCTGGGAAGACATGTGATGAGACACGGGCCCTGGCTGTCTGCAGTGGGCCTGGGAAGGTGCGACCACTCCCCATCAGCACTCAGCCTGGAGGCAGGCGTGAGTGGGGGGCACAGTGTCGGGGAGAGCCCAGGGCAGTGGGGGTGACAGACATGGGACTGCCTCCGTGGCACTGGGACACTATTCAACTGCAGAGTTACTGGTATGGACTCCCCCTGTCCCTGAACCACCCACTGCCCCATGCAGCCACCAGGAGGTGCCAGAGGACCCCCATCCCTAACCCCCACCAACCCACCTTGTAGTAGCGGGCAGTGTCAGGGACGGGACCAAACTCCTGGGTGACGGCATTGCGCACAGAGTTGGCCTTGCCATTTTCGATGTTGATGGCACCGATGAGCAGATTATTGGAGATGTTGTCCAGGTGCCCACGGAACTTGAGCCAGGGGCCAGCAGCCGAGATGTGGTCAGTGGTACACTTCCCTTTGACCTGGGGTGGGTGAGCAGAGAGAACAGAGGTCGTGGCAGGGCCTCTGAGTGGCAGATGAAGGGAGAGGCCCTCTCGAGGCAGGCAGCGGGACCCGGGGATGGGGACACGAGAAGGATGTCGGGCTGTGACACAGGGTCTACCGTTTTGGCGTCACCACTCTGGCCAAGAGGGCTCAGGCAAGGCTGTCACCCACCCCTCAGAGGGGGTAGAGGAGTCTGGACATGGAGGACACGTATGTCTGCTCACTCACCCTTTAGACCTAGGCCCCCAGGTAGGAGATGCCCAGGCTGGAAGACCAGCGACACAGAGAGGAGCCCAGGGATGTGTCTGGGTTCTGGCTAGTGACTGATCAGTTTCATCTACCACGTGGGCCTAATATTGGCTGTGACACTGCCTGGAGACCCCACAGTTAACAGCATAATGCACGTGTGACATGGGTCTGAGGCCTCTGGCTGTACCACAAGAGCTTGTCTGCTCAGCTCCCAAACACAGGCCATATACCCCCGATGCTCAACTGTGGGAACAGAGGAAATGACGTCTTCCGGAGCTTGTCTTGCAAGCCAGACGTGTGGAGACCTGGCTGTGCAGGGTCACATGTGCCCATCTTGCCCTCCCTGTGCTGCATTCACTACCCACACCCACTGGAGGTGGGCCTCACCAGCTGGAGCAGGACTGCTGAGGGCCTCAGACAGCAGCTGGCCAGACTCAGTTCTGCCCAGCACGGGGCAGTGGAAGAGGGGACACAGATGCCCTCACTCCTCTGCAGCCAAACCTCCCTTCCTGCCCCCACCCTAATCTTGACTGTGTCCTCCACCATGGTCCATGGGAGAACGTGTGGTTTCACGGCCCTTCCTACCAATCAAGGGAGGGTGCCCTGGCAGCAGGGCTGTCTTCCCTGTCCCCATGCCACTGACCTTGATGAGGATCTGCAGGTCCTCCAGGTCTTTGCCGTCCCACTTGTCAAAAGGCTCCAGGAGCTGCAGACGCTGGCTGGTGGGACTCACGTCCACCCGCTGCCCGCTGCTGTCCTTAGGGGGGTGCTGGTAGGTGTCCTGTCCAGGATCGAACTCCTGCAGCAGGGGACAGGGCACATTGGGTGCCAGCCCCTCAGCCCCCATTCGGAAAGGCTCTCACGGAAGGCAAGCTCCCCCGAGCACCAAGCCGCTCTCTCCCGGTGAACACGGCCGCTTCACTCTCACAGACAGTGAGCGTCCCTCCTGGGCAGGAAGTGTCTCAGCCACACAGCGGCCCTGAGGCCCAGGCCGAGACGGGCGTGCAGGACAGGTGGCCGTGGTGGTGCCTGCTCACCGCTCGGGGAAGCTCATCTGCGTCTGGAGCCTCCAGCTTGAACTTCTTGCCATCCTTGCCCGTCAGGAAGTCAGTATCTGGGTTGAACTTGAGGGTGCCAGCAATGGCCAGGGCTGTGACAATCTGAAACGGAGGCGGCCAGTTTGTCAGTCGGCACCAAACTCCACTCCTGTTCCTCCACCTCAGCAGAGACCAAAACTGAGCTGGAGCCCAGGAAATTTCCAGATTCTCCACAGACCACTCTTCCCCTTAGAGGCGGGAGCTGTAGGAATCTCCCTGGGACCAGGGCCATTGGGCCCGCAGGGGACTCATGACCCCAAGGGTAATCTGGCCTCTACCACCCCCACTGGGGCCTGACCTCAGAGCCCCCTCGACCAGGGTCAGTGCTGGACCCAGAGAGGCCAGAAATGCGGCTGCAGTGAAAATGTTCCTTAATGGGCACTGAAAACATGGAAAGGGCCGTTTCTTCACAAAAGTATTTCTGGAACACTCATTCAAAAAACCAAGTTACAAAAGACTGGCCAAGTGCGGACAACCACTAAGTGCCCGGAGTACGTGGCTCAGTGGCTGTTCACCATGACAGCGGCCTCCCTCCCGGCTCAGGGACAGTGCGAGCAACTCCTGTGCTGCTCCTGGGCCGCCGACAGGACCCTGGGGCACAGAGGAGGGGAGCGACAGGGTCAAGGCCATAGGGCTGGGTGGAGGTGGGCTGCCTTCTGTCCCCAGGTGATGCTAAGGCTCCTGCTCACCATCGCAACTGTGCTAAATGAGACCTCAGGCTCCTGCCACTGAGCGGAGCCAGGCGGGGGGCACCAAGGGAGCTGGACGCCTGGGGCCGGCAAGGTTTATGGCTCTTGGTTTCTGCCCTAACAGTCCCTTGCCCTGCGATGCCAAGCCTCCCTCAGCAGCCCTGCGGGGTCAGATGGCCTTCCCCAGTGCCCCTACTCCCCTGACCGGCCAGCAGCAGGGCCCCGAGAGGCCGTCCCAGGTTAGGGCCGGGCCTGGCAGAGTCTCACCTCAGGGGATGTGACAAAGGCATGGGTCTCGGGGTTTGCATCATTGCGGCCTGTGAAGTTCCTGTTGTAGGAGGTGACGATGGTGTTCTTCTCCCCCTTCTTGATGTCCTTTCTGCCAGGTCAGAGGAGACAGAGTTAGGGATGTCTGGCCTTGCCACCTGGCCCATCCTGCCTAGCTCATGGCAGAGGAGGGGGAACTGGAAAGACCCTGAAAGGGTCACCTCCTCCCAGAACTCACACACACAGAGCAAGAGGGAACCTCGGGCATCACTGAGGTTTGCTTGAGACCACACGTAAGACAGAGGCCAGACCAAGGCCAGAGTTTCCTGACCCGGGCACTGCTTCCTTTCAAGAGGCTGCATCAGAGGTCACCACTGTGTGCATTACGATGAGGCCCCCTGGCTTCTTCCTGCCACCGCAGGCTCGTCCAGGTGGCCACTCAGTGCTGCTGGAGGCTCTTCCTCTTTACTTCCAGCCCAACTTTCCAGTCCTTCCTGGAAAAGTCTTCTAATGTGCAACAGCCCCAAAGCTAGAGGCCTTGGGCTGAGAGTTGTCACTTCAATGACATCTCCCCTCAACATCTGGGGCTCTGTACCCCAGGACATAAAGGGCCGTCCTATCAAAATCGTGCTTCTGGGGCTTCCCTGGTGGTGCAGTGGTTGAGAGTCCGCCTCCCGATGCAGGGGACACGGGTTCGTGCCCCGATCCAGGAAGATCCCACATGCCGCAGAGCGGCTGGGCCCGTGAGCCATGCCCGCTGAGCCTGCGCGTTCGGAGCCTGTGCTCAGCAACGGGAGAGGCCACAACAGTGAGAGGCCTGTGTACCGCAAGAGAGAAAAAAGAAAATCGTGCTTCTCACCTGTCCCACTGGCCAATGCAGGGGCCACAGGCATTGGCCAGGACAATGCCACCCACGTCCCTCAGGATCTGTGCCTGCAGCAGGGACAGAGGACAGGGAGTTGTCAGGGGCAGGCTGGCAGCTGATGGGAAAGGGTGGTTCAGCAGCCTGAGGGATGAATAGCTGATGGGAACCCTGGGGCCTGTCCCAGCCCCTGCCTACAAGGCTGTGGTTTGTTCTGCCCTGAAGCCACGTTACTCAGCAGTGGGGTGGGGGAGCCAGGGGCGGGATGCGTGGGCACTCACGTAGCCGTCCCGCTCAATGGTGGCACGGATCTGCTCAGAGCCTGGCGTGATGGTGAACTGCGACTTGCACTTGAGTCCATGAGCCAGTGCCTGCTTGGCCACAGCAGCTGAACGCCCCATGTCCTCGTAGCTGGAGTTGGTACAGCTGCCAATCAGACCTGGTGCATCATAGGTGGTGAGGCCGGGAGTCAGGAGGAGAGAGTAACCAGAGCTCTCCACCTGACCGCAAATGATCCAGGTCTGGTCAAGAGTTCACCAACTCTGCTTCCAACAGAGACACGTTGGAAGCAAACTACCTAGCTGTTTAAGAGTAAAGGATAAGCTCCTCTTGACCCAGCCATTTAAGGGAAGAAGATGAGGCCAGTGAACACGACACTGAACATGCGTGGAAGCAGTACAAGCCACTCTTACAGTAGTACAGTCTGCATGTGTATGCACATCAGCAGGCCCACACTGAGACACTTACATGACTGCTGCCTGGTGAGGGCCTATAGGCCAATTTTCTTCTCTTATACTTTGTAGTATTCTCTGGCTTTCTAGTTGGTTTATAATCAGGGGAAAAAGAATTATTTTTAAAAAGTCTGGCTTCCCTGGTAGCACAGTGGTTAAGAATCCGCCTGCCAACGCAGGGGACACGGGATCGAGCCCTGGTCCGGGAAGATTCCATATGCTGCGAAGCAACTAAGCCCCTGTGCCACAACTACTGAGCCTGCACTCTAGAGCCCACGAGCCCCAACTACTGAAGCCCGCGTGCCACAACTACTAAGGCCCGCGCGCCTAGAGCCCGTGCTCCATAATAAGAGAAGCCACTGCAATGAGAAGCCCACGCACCGCAACGAAGAGTAGCCCCTGCTCGCCGCAACTAGAGAAAGCCCGCACGCAGCAACAAAGACCCAACACAGCCAAAAACGTAAATTAATTAAGTAAATAAATCAGAAAAAGGAAAGTCTATCACAGTTATTCAGAAAGTCAATAAAGACTGGATGACATCACACTGTCTATAGACAGAGACAGTCTCTCTCACCAGCTCAGCAATTTAGTTTCTAATTTTAAGCTACCAAAGATTTGTTTTTATTTACTTCAACTCATAAGGCTGAACACATTGTATAGCACTTCATGCCAGGCACCACCGAAAGCTCTTACCACACATTAACTCGTCCCACTTCCCAGCAATTTTAACGGGTAAGTACAGTATCACCCTCGTTTTACACCTGGGGAACCGAGGCACAGGAGGTGATGTGATTTGCTCTCGGTCACCCAGCTGTGAAGTGGCAGAGTCAGATTCATACCCAGGCCACCTGGGTTCATGTGCTTCACAGCCACACTAAACTGTGACAACAGTGATACCATGCCAGTGTGTCCGTATATGTAAAGCATGTAAAGTAAAATCAGTCGTCATGGTTGGTGAGAGGAAGTGTTTGTAAAACAGAAAATTACACACATCAGTATGTGCATGTACACAGAAATACAGTATCCTGTCAAAGAGCTTCTAGAGCTGCTTCTGGCTGAGGGTGGAGATTAGGGGTGTTTTAAAATACTTCTTATTTGTCAATATTCTCTACACTGATATATATTTGTTTTCTTTTTTTTTTGAAGATTTTCTTTTCTTTTTCTTTTTTTTTTTTAGGTTCCACATATATGTGTTAGCATACAGTATTTGTTTTTCTCTTTCTGACTTACTTCACTCTGTATGACAGACTCTATGAAGATTTTCTTGATGTGGACCATTTTTGAAGTCTTTACTGAATTTGTTACAATATTGCTTCTGTTTTACGTTTTGTTTTTTTTTGGCCGCAAGACACGTGGGATCTTAGCTCCCCAACCAGGGATCGAACCTGCACCCTCTGCACTGGAAGGTGAAGTCTTAACCACTGGACCATCAGGAAATCCCTCTATTTCTTTTATACCAAGAAAAAGTAATTTCTTTAAAAAGCCATAAGAAAAAAACCAACTACTTCAGAAAGTGCCTGGTCCATTCAGGAAGGGCCCCGCGGTAAGCACAGGCCACAGCCCACAGCCCTGGGTGGACCGCTGGCCCTGAGGCAGGGGGCGGGGGTGGCTCACCTACTCGGATGTCCAGGGGCCACCCCTCCTTCTCTGCCACACTGCCCACTTCTGCCACAGGGTGAGCCAGGTCAGGGGTGAAGGGCCCATTGATGTGCGGCTTCAGCTGAGGAAGAAAAGGCACGGGAGGGAACCCAGCTTGGCGCGTGGACAGCCTCTCTTCTTCAGAGGCGGCCTCACTCCTGCTCACCAAGTCACGGTGGGCCTGGGAGGCCAACTACTGTTCTCACAGCTCTACCCAGGAAACGCCCGAGCAACAGGCACTGTACGTGCCGCAGCTCCTGGGATCTCTCCAACCCCGCACGGCTCGTCATCTCCAGCCTGCAGACGGCAGAGCGCCTGCTTTGCCCAAGGTCACATAGCTCGGCGATAGCAGAGGCATGGGATGAATCAAGGTTGCCAGCTTCCTAAGCCCATTACCTCCCATACTATGGTGCTTCTGGAATCTTACAGCCAGATGCTTTACATGTGACGATACTTATCAATCAACGTGAAGCACTTAACGAAGTGCCTGGCACACAGTAAGCACTCAATAAATGTCAGCAACTGTTATTACACGGATTAGCTCATTCAGTTCCCATGACTGCCTTGGGTACACTGTGAAGTGAGGCCCACAGTGCTTGAGTAACTTGCCCAAGGTCGCAGGCTTAAGTGGCAGAATCAACATGTGAACTCATGCAGGTTGGCTTCAGGGCCTAAACCCTTGGCTGCTGTGCTCTGCTGCTTCTGCTCCTCCAGACTGCCCTTTCTCTGGCCTTCCAAACGCCACCCTGGCCTACAGGTCTCAGGGTGCCAGGCTCAGGCTTGGGAATCTTAGGCTTTGCCCTCTGAACTCTCACAACTCTAGGGCAAAATCCTGGCTTCTCCTAAAGCTGAGGTGGGGGCCAACTGAACGTTTCTGAATCACCAGCAGTAGCCACCTCCACTCTCCCCTTGGCCATACAGCCTTCCTGCTGCCCCTCCCACCCCACTGATTCAGGCAGCAGTTTGCAGGGACACTGGGGAACCAAAAGCCCAAGAGCCCTGCTGGGTGTGCAGCCAGGGACCTGCTCTGGCTCTCCCCAGGGCCCACCAGAAGTCCCCAGACGGGGCCTGAACCCCCCACTCTCAGAAACCAACTCCCTTCCTCACCTCGCTGAGGTTAATTTCTATCAGTTGGTCATAATGGCAGCCAGGGTCAGGTACCAAGTGATCCTTGAATTCATCAGCAAGGTTGGCAATGTCTGAAATCAACAAGGGAGGGAGACTGAAGCATGTAAAACAGAAATTGGCCATGAGACTCCATCCATCCACCTGCGCATCCATCCATCCATCCATGCATCCATCCACCCGCCCACCCATCCATCCATATGAACCAGCTACCAGGCACCTGTCAAACACCAGGCCCTGGACACTGACTGGGCAAACAAAGAAACAAAACAAACAGCACAGGACACAGCTCCTGCCCTCGAGGAGCTCACGTCTAGCGAAGGAGCTATCAGTGAGCCGGAAGTCACAACATAATACAACAGAGGCACGCAGGAACACGGGGACACAGGGGAGAAGTAGTGACTGAGGCTCAGAGTCAGGGAAGGCTTCCTGGAGATGAGAAGCACTGAGTTTTTAAAGAAGGAGAAGAAGTTACTTGATAATAAAAGCGAGGGAAGGGCCTTTCAGGTAGGACTCTGTGTGCGGAGAGCTTGGGAACAAAGTGACAAACTCCCCCCCCAGGCCCCTGGCCTCTGGCTCCACCAATCACCCTCGCTCACCTCCCTTCAGAGGCTCCAACAATTCCTCCCCCAGGACCCATTTCCCACTCTGGGTTTCAAAGAAGCCAAACTAAAACCTCAGGGAAGTTGCTGAGGGAGGCCTACAAAGTGGTTCTTGTTCCAGACCTTTATCCTCCTCCCCCTGCCAGGGCAGGAATTACAAACAGAAGCAGATCCATGTCATTTCCAGAGCCTCCCACAGAGGGCACCAGGGACCAGGCCAAGAAGAACCGGAATGCAGACACCCTTTCAGGGGAAACTAAATTCCAATCCTGAGGCAGGGATATCTCACACTTAGATGCCAGACCCACTGAGAAGCTGATGAGAGCTACAGACACCCCACTCAGGAACAGTAACACACATAACCTCTCACAGACCGTTAGAGGCTTCTCAGAGCCTCTGAAGCCAGTCCGGAGACACCAGGCTTAGGACTTAGGACGCCCACTGGCTCACCTGCCCGGCCTGTCTTGCTCAGGTACTTCTTCATCCTGTGGTTGTAAGGAAACACCGAAGTGGTGGCCCCAATTTCTGCACCCATGTTGCAGATTGTCGCCATGCCTGTAGAGAAACAGAGCCCAAGGGGCTGGCTGTGCAGCTAGGCGAGGGTCCCCCACACCTGCTAGAGGTGCACACACGTCTTCACACCAGGGAGCTGGCATCATTTCTTCCCTCACTCTCACTGCCTCTGTGGCCCAGGGTTAAAATGAGGCCCAGTGAAGAGAGGCCACGGGGCCAGAGCTCGGTGTCCCGGTTCTCAGGGTGGCTGCTAGGTAGAGTGAAGGGGATACAAGATTCAGCTCCTGCAAGCCAAGTTCCAGTTCTAGGCCTGGCTGTCCCGCTCAGCAGACTAGACAGCCCCCATGTAATGAACGCTGACCTGGCCAGACCACCCAGTTGTTACTGTGTCCATCTGCAGGCAAGGGAACTGGCTCAGAGAGGCCCAAGGTCATGCCACAGAGCAAATGCAGCGTGGCCTGCAGGTCTCGGTCTGACTGCCTGGTGTGCAGGCCTGCACTGTTTCAGCTACAACACGGTGGAAATGTTTCTGGGTCCGCAGTTTTCCAGCAATAAGACTGGAATGACGTCCACTGCCTGGACCACAGACCGCCCACAGAACTAGAAAGGCTACAGATGCCCTGACTGCTATCAGGACTCCAGCCTCATGGGGTTGCTGGGACATGGGTCTGGGCTTGTTGCCAACTTCCTAACTGAGCTGTCCAACAGTAGTAAGGGCTACTTATAAGAATGAGCCCCACATCACTGGAGGGACACAAGGGCCAGCTGAACTGTAGCTCTGTGGGGCTGCTGTGGAGCTGAGGGAGGCCCCTAGGGAAGTCTGGACTGAACCATCTCTAAGGTTCATTCCAAGTCTACCTGGATTTCTGAGGGCCCAGGCATTGGGGCCAGATCACCAGGAGTGATGAGTAGGAAGGGGCTGGCTCCCACCTGGTCTTGGAGACTAGCAAGTGACGGTCTCTAATCCAAAGGAAGAGAGTGAGGTTCCAACTCCAGCCAAGGGAAGATGTGAGAATGCGGCTGCTTTGAGACAGAAGCCCTGACTCCGATTCCCCTTCCCACCACCACCTCCACCCTCTGTAGGTTCTTCTGGATCACCCAAGGCAGCCCAGGGCCACAGCCAAGTTGGCTCAGCCCCTAAGGGAAGTTACCTGTCGTCCTTGAGGGGCCCCAGTCTCCCGTTTAATGAGGGACCTGGACTAGACAGTGAGGTCTCCCCTCGACCTCTAAGTGTCCATCCCAAGTCCCCAAATTGACTGGACAGATCCTCAGGGGAAGGCCATTCACCGCTTCTACGGCTCAACTACAGGCCCCATTGGGCCCAGCACAGGCTGAGAGCCATGTCACGTGGCCGCCCTCCTCACCAGTGCAGGAGATGGAGTCTATGCCAGGCCCGTGGTACTCCACAATCGCGCCCGTGCCGCCTTTTACTGTGAGGATGCCCGCCACCTTTAGGATCACATCTTTGGGTGAGGTCCAACCGGAGAGTGAGCCTGTCAGCTTCACACCGATCACCTGAGTAGGTGGGGCAAGGAAGCAGTTACAGGCCTGTGTATCATGTGCCATGTTCCAACCAGGAATCTACCTGCTGGAATTCAGCTTATTTATCCCTGCCTCCTTCCCAAAGAGATCTGAGCCTGACCTATTCTCTCATCCTTTTCGGGTCCCACATCTCCCATTCACCCCCGCCAACCACCCCTCTGCTGTCACCCCGAAATGAGCCCTTCCCTACCCCTCACCTTGGGGCACTTCAGCTCCCAGGGGATCCCAGCCATGACGTCCACTGCATCAGCGCCCCCAACTCCAATGCAGATGCCCCCCAGGCCACCACCATTGGGGGTGTGGGAATCAGTGCCAATGAGAAGAACCCCAGGGTATGCATAGTTTTCCAGAATGATCTGAAAAAGAATCCAAGATCTTAAGCTTAAAAGCCCTCAGGAGAGAATGGAGGTAGGGCTCCAAAGGGGTCTGCAAAACTGCCCCCTACCGACACTGGGCCACTGGGCCATTCCCAGGCACCCCTCCAGGATGGGGCCTCTCCAGTGTGGCCTGGACGAGCCAGAGACCTGGGAGACCGGCGGCCTGGGCTCACAAACTGCTCTGACAGTTCCTGACTGTATGACTTGGGCTTGTCAGTGCCTCTCTGCACCTCAGTTTCCTCATTTGTTAAGGACGGCCATACCACCTCGACCCCAGGATTGTGGCGAGAACCAGATGAACTAGGTACAAGAGTGTGTCGTGTGACAGGCCTGGGGACAAGTGCTGACCCCTGAAAGGTGTTCCCCTACAACACCCACTGCCTCACGTGGTGGACACAGGGAGTGTGCTTATCTGGCTTCTCAACAGGGCAGACAATCTTTCATGTCCTGGCTCCAGCACCCACAAGGAAGTACCGGGGATCCTACGGGAGCACAGGCCAGGAGTTTTTCCACCACTGAACTAAAAACAAGTACAGACAACACCTCCCTAGCCTCAGTGGCCTGGAGGTGGCTCTGAGAACAGAAGTGACTTGCTTAAGGAAGAGGATGACTTGCCGCATTACCTCTCCGAGTTCAGTGTTCCCTTCGTCGAGGCACTCCTCCTAGCTGGGAGCTAGGAGCTGGCAGTGAGCATTTCTCCCCAGGATATTTAAAGGAGCTACGGGGGCAGCTCCCCCAGTGCAGCCCCGCCCACCATCCTGACAGCTGAGGTGCTGGACACGCTGAGGCTGCAGCGGGGCTGCTTGAAGAAACTGCAGCCAAAGGCCACGCCTGGGTCTGCGGTGTGGCCGCACCGCATACCGGTAGTCACTTCACCCCTCCAAGCCTCAGCTTCCCATCTGTAAAAAGTAGCTGATAACAGTGCCCCCCTCACTGGATCACTGTGAGCACTTGATAGGAACATGTCCGTCAAGCTGTAATAATGTCTGAGAGAGGCATTATTTTTATTTATTATTTTGCAGCAAGATCCTTCACCTGAGGTTCTGTTGCTTGCTGCCAGAGGCAATTATGGCCCAACACACACATAGGATGTTGGGGAGGATAAATGAGATCAGAGATGCGAAAGGCTCTATGAACTGTCAGGACTGACGGAATGGTGGGTAGTCTCCCCAGAATATTACAGAAACCCCAGGGCCTCTGCCTCAGGCTAGGCATCTGCTCAGCAGACTCAGCAAGGGTCCAGGGGTCTCGCCTCTTGGGAACACAGAAAGTTAGAAGACCTGGTTCCTTCTCCAGAAACGAGGCAGCTGGCTGGGAGAACAGGCCAACACAGAAGAAATCCCTAACAAAAAACAACTGTTGGAGAGAACGCTGTTTAACTGCTTCATTTCTCCAGCCCTCCTTTTCCTTGGCCACATACAAAGATTTAAAACTAGTTAATCTCTAAAGCTCCTCAAGGTTGTAAAAGTCTGATCCATGAAGACCAGACACACAGAATTCAGTGTGGTCACACCATGTAGACTGCCAGTGTGGTCCATGTCCAAAAGGGAGTGGTCAGCACAGACCCGAGGACTGCAGAAAGCATCACAAAGAAGCTGGTTGTGACAGTGACCTCAGTGGTCGGCTGCATACGGTTAGGCAGACGGGGGTGTGGTGGAGAAGTGTATTTTTAGGCTGGACTAACATCTAGAACATAAAACTAGAAATTCAGCCATCTACCTGCATGACACATGTACACTGAGGATCTATTCTATACTGACCTGGCGCCAGGCCCAGAGCTAGAGAGGAATAAATAAGCCATAGTCCCTGTCCCCACAGGGCACACTCAGCATACACTGTGGCCATAATGTGAAGGGTCCCACACAGGATCACAAGATCCCCAATGCTGGGCACCGGAGGGCCAGGACTTCACAAAGGTGACCAGAAAGCAGAACTGTGGAGGAGGAAGTGTCTGCCAAGGGACTCAAGGCAGAGGGAAAGGGATTAAGATTTAATCTGGACATGGCAGATTAAAGCTGCCTACTGTCAAGGGGGAGAGGAAAGAAAAGCTGCACAGAGATCACATGATTCCTGGGAACTTTCTTTCTAAAGAAATATATCAGGCTGTACACTTAGCTGGTGGCCACTGGCAGGTGTAAGCTGCCATCACTCACGACCCCAAACTTTGGCCCAGAAGCTGCCAAAACAGTCTCAGCATTTGTACTAAGGTGAATGGAGGACACTTGGATTGGGGTCCCCTTGATGACAAAAGGCCAAGGTTGGGTCCACCTGACTCCCTCGCCCTGCTGCTGAGAGAGGCTCTCTGGCCCCTGCAGACCAGTGTGACATGCCATACCCGGGGAGCCCCTTCCTGGCAAGGGCGATGGTTTGAAAGGGCAGAGCAGTGATCTGTGGCTCTGGTTTCAGAGTGGGGCAGTGCTGGGAACCCATGCAGGGTCGGATTACAGCCTGACTCAGCTCATCTTGAAGGAAGGCCTGGAAGTGAGCCCTGGGATGGAGGTGGGGAGAAAGGTCACCTTGAGAAGGTACAAAGAGGCAGGTTTCACATACAGGATGGATGGCAAATGGACACAAACCAGCACACACCCCACAAACCAGTCAGAAGCCCTGAACAGACACCTTTGATGAAAGCTAATCACCTATCTCCCCAGAAACACACACACACACACACACACACACACACACACACACACACACACACGACAGGACTGCCTATCAAGAGAAAATCCATCCTTGGGAGACCACAGGAGAACTCCTGACTGATGTGGCCATGTGACCTTTGGCCCCTCCATCCTCCAGGACACCCACAATGGGCCAAAAGGCTCCGAGGAGCACTCTGTGCACTGAGAGGGGAAGAGCTTCCGGTGTGATGGGAGGCCGTGACGCAGCACAGCAGTGTGGAGCACTGGCTCCAGGGCCAGGCCGCCTGGATGCAAAGCCTGGTCCCACAATCGGCCAACTGGGTGCCCCTGGGCAAGGAGATTAACTTCTCCATGCCTCAGTTTCCTCATCTGTAAGGTGGGGACAATAAAACCGCCAATTTCACAGGGTCACGGCGAGCACCCAGTAGGTTACCATCTGCGGAGTGCCTGGCACACGGAATGTGCTCATCAAGTGCTAGCTATCCACACAACAAGGTATAACGCTTGTGGAAAAAAGCAAAACAAAAAAACAATACAATACCATAATGCTTAGAAGAAGGTGTAGCACAAAACATGTCAACCTTAAAAAGCTGGTCAGAAGGGACTATTTTAATTTCTCACACGGAGAGTGAGAATGTATAACTTGACACAGTGAAAATTAATTTTAGGGACTTCCCTGGTGGCACAGTGGTTAAGAATCCGCCTGCCAACTACAGGGGACATGGATTCGAGCCCTGGTCTGGGAAGATCCCACATGCTGCGGACCAACTAAGCCTGTGCGCCACAACTACTGAGCCTGCACGCCATAACTACTGAAGCCCGCATGCCTAGAGCCCGTGCTCCGCAACAAGAGAAGCCACCGCAATGAGAAACCCGCGCACTGCAATGAAGAGTAGCCCCGCTTGCCACAACTAGAGAAAGCCTGAGTGCAGCAATGAAGACCCAACTCGGCCAAAAAATAATTAATTAATTAATTTTGAAAAAAGAAAATTAAAATTTAAAATGAAGGCGGAGGAGTCTAAGGGCTGATGAAAATGTCATCCAATTGCCTGCCTGAGCCCCCGGCTCCCACAGGCCTGGAGGTGCTCCCTGGTTCCCTAAGGGCAGCCCGCTCCCCTGCCCACCCACAAAGGCAGGCCAGGCCCTGCTTTACCTGGTGAATGATTCCAGAGCCAGGCCTCCAGAAGCCCACGCCGTACTTGGCACCTGCAGATGCCAGGAAATTATACACTTCCTGGTTTATGTCCTATGGAGACAAATCAATAACCAGGTCATTAGTAACACAGTTTGCTCATGCCTTCCCCCCTCCCCCACCCCTCCCCTCTGACTCTGAAATGCTGGCACTGTGAAGACAGGCCCCCTCCTGGAGGCCGTCTACAAATAATTCCAAAAGGGCTTGGACGCTGGCCCATAGTCTCAGCTGGCAGGCCCAGGAGAGAGAGCAGGGAACAGAGACAAAGCCCAGTTCTGTGACACCTGGCCAGGGAGTGGGTCCAAAACAAATCCCTTCCCTGCCCTGGGTCTCAGTTTCCTTATTTGTAGAAGGGTCCCTCTGGCACTCAAGTCCTCAGCCAAGGCCAGCAGTGAGGGGTAAGCATGGGACTACAGGACTAACTGGGACATGGTGTGGGGGAGGGGAACTCTCAAAGGGAAGCAGTGGGACAGAGTGGACAGCCCGGTCCCACCACGCCTCATGTTGGGTGTTGTTTCTCCACTGGCACCTCGGATGCCTCATTTGCAATCCTGGCTGACATTTACTGAATGTCCACTACGGAAATGGCACCACGTTAAACATCCTCACAACTCAGGGGAAGTATGTCACCAAGCCCATTTTACAGATGCAAAAACAGAAACTCAGAGGTGAAATAACTTGCTGGAGATCCCAGGGTTAAACAGAGGAGCCAGTGTTTGAACCCAGGCCTGTCCAACCACAGAGCTGAGGGCTACGTTGTAATAGAAATAAGGCTACCTCCCTTACAGAGACTACATCTCAGAACACCTAGACCACTGTCTGGCATACGGTAGGTGCTCAACACTGGGTAATATGTCTGATGGGCCCCAAATGAAACACCGTGAAATGGACCATGCTCTGAACAAACAAAACAAAAAACAGGATGGTACCCACTATACCTATAATTCAGAGACAACTTCCTCGGGGGGAAGGAAAGGCTTCCCACCACACGGATGTAGGCCAGAGTTTATCTGGAAGACATGGCATGTCCCTGGATAGGTGAGACCCCAGGGACTAAAGGGATGGGACCATAGCAGACAGCACAGAGCTGCAAAGGAGGAAGTAGGAATAGAGACCTGCTAGCCTCTGGGTGTGGGACAGCCGCGCTCCAAGACAGAGGAAGGACTCACTGTGGATTCCGCTGGGCCCTCCATAAAACACTCTCAATACCGTGCAGCCCCCTTCATTTAAACTCCACACCAACCATGCATCATTCTGAGGGCCCGTGTAGTTCCCCCAAGTAAAAGAACGGCAGACAAGAACTTAGGTATCCAAGGCAGTCTCTTTCTGATTAATAATATACTGGGTTTTTCGTTTATAAATCAGTCACCAATTGTAAAACTGGTACTGAGGGCAGGAGGCAGCTGGTTGTGTGTGCATTTGCTCATGTGTCTGCGTGTGGGAAGAGAGGCAGCGCGGCGGCCAGAGTGGTGTGGCAGAGTCTCGACCAGAACTCAGCCTAGATACTTCTCTGGTGGTCTGTATGACCCTGGACAGGTCACTCTGCCTCTCTGAGCTCCAACCAGAGGGACCCTTTACAAATACATGTAAATCTGACCATATCCCTCTCCTGTGTAAACCCCTCAGCGACTCCTAGGAGGGCGCCCACAGTCCTCAAGGCCCTGCCTGCACTTGCCCCCACCCACCTCAGAGTTCCAGGCCCACAGGGCCCCTTCCAGCTCCACAAAAGTACCAGGTTTCTTCCTCCTCAAAGTCTTTAGGTCATCTGTTCTGTCTAGAACGTTCTTGCTTATCTGTTCACATCTCAGCTTACATGTTACATCCTCAAAAGAGGCTGTCCTTTCCCCAACAAAGTCTAAATCAGACATCTTTCTTATACTTTCAGCGTTCCACACTCTCCCAAATTGGCAGTTACCAATTTGTGTGATTGTTTAGCTTCTGTCTCCCTACTGGACTCTAAGATCCATGAGGGCAGAAGGCAGAGGCCCTGTCTGTCATGTTCACACTGAGTCCCAGCACCTAGCACAGTGCCTGGCACATAATTAATGTTCAATGAACATTTGTTAAATAAATGAGGGAACGGGTCCTGAAATCCTATGATTTTGTGAATCTCATCTCCAGAAGGTAGATTTTAAAACTATAAAGTAAGGGGAGGGCCAGACCCTGAAGGTGGTGGCCCTGCTGCAGGCAGTCATTCACCCCTAGGGCTGAAGAGGACCCAGTTCCCAGCACTGAAGGATCCCCTGTAATGTTACCAGTTACCACCACCGCTGCTGCTAACATGGAAACCACCAGACAGAAAGCTGGGCTCTTTCAGCTGAGTGGAGCCGCTGTCCCACCAGGACACAAACGAGCAGGCCAAGGTAGGAAGAAGGGGCTTGAATGGGAAAGCTGCCCTGAGCGTTTCCCATGGGTCTGAGAGGCTCTCTGAGCCGTGCTGACCCTGGGAGCCGAAGCACTTTCAATTGCATGCTCTGCTCTGTGCCCAGCCGGGCTGCAGCCCTGCCAGCATTCAGCTCCTGCCAATGGCCCCCCAAGAGCAGTGCCCACTTCCATTGCGAGGGACGGGGAGGGGGTGGGGAGGGTGGAGGCCCAGAGCTGGGAGAGGCCTGCTATTGCCAAGAGTAGACACACACAAAGGCACCACAAGTAGAGCCTGGAGGAAGGAGCACAAATTTGGTTTCATAAGAGTGAGAGGAATCCAAGGGGAAAACTGTTCAGTGTGGCATCCAGCCCCTTCTACCTTGTTAAGTGAAACTCACAGAAGAAAGCCCACAAAGCGGGTCAATCAGTAAGAGAGGGCCCTGACTGGGAGAAGGGATAAGGGTCTGGTCCTAACCTCGCCCCCATGCAGGTGTGGGACTTGATGCACGCGCCTTGGCCGCCTCAAATTTACCAACAGCGACACTATTCGCCTCCCTCCCTGACAAGGTCCCCAGGGGCCAGGCGAGAGCACGAGTGATCACATGTGATGGTGGCAGCACGGGAACTAAAAAGTCCCTTCTCCAGAGCAAGTGGCAATAGGTATCAGAACCCGACATCTGCATCACTTTTCTTATAAAGTATTCTGTTTTATTACAGAAAAAGGACCTGAAAAGAATACCTTTATTACGGTAAGATTAAGGATGATTTTTGTTTTCTTTAGGTTTTCTCAGTATTTTCTAACAGCTTCACAAAGGGCAAATGGTATTTTTCAAAGTAGAAGAGAGCAAAAATAAATTAAAAAAAAAAAAAACTAAACCAAAGAGTCCATTAGAATTTGGGGGTAATGCCCTAGTTCAAGGGTTTTGTCTCTCATTCCATGTCACACCCACTGGCCCCCTCCACGCCCCTCCCACGCTACCTTCAGCTCACCTTGGCCCGACGCAGGTCTTTCTCACCCCCGAGCTGGGCCTCGATCAGGTGGTCACAGTGGATGGTGGACGGCACAGCCACCTTGGGCAGTCCACTGCTGATGAACTGCAACATGGCCATCTGGGCCGTGGCATCCTGCATGGCCACGCGGTCAGGCCGCAGCCGCAGGTAGGTCTTGCCTCGCTCGATCTCCTGGTGGGCCGGGTCATCCAGGTGTCCATACACGATCTTCTCTGAGAGGGTCAGAGGCCGGTTCAACCTGGCGGGAGAAAGGAGGGATGGCCTGGGACCAGCTGCATGGGCCCCCGTCCGCCACAGCCATTCCCTCTCCGCACACACGGCGGGCACCCTGCACCCCACGAGGGTGGAGACGAATCGGTGCTGCTCACTGTGGTAGCTCCAGCACACGGCACAGCACCTGGCACTCGCTAGGTCCAAAACCACTTGATAAATGCCAACATCACAAGAGGCGGCACTGTTTTATTTTTCCCTGAAGTATATTTGCTTTTTCCAGTTAATTGCTATTATCTGACGGGCACCTATTCCGTGTATGTCTCATCTTTTAATCCTTACTGTATCCTTGTCATTTAGTAAAACAACCATGAGGTAACAGAGACCCAGCAGAGTGATGTTCGAAGCTCAAGTTCGCAGCCAGAGTCTCACCTTGGATGCTCTATTTCTCTCTGTTCACGGCCACCTCCCCCGTGCACTCAGCCCCACTGAGACAGAGACTCTGCACCAGCACCCCTCACCCAACCCGCCTCACGCTCCGCCCGCAACCCTCCACCTCAGGTGCTAGAGGCCTTGTTACCCTATTACGCTAAAGCCTTTCCTGCTGGCTCCACTCGCTCTCACCCCATGAAGACAGGTGTGGCTGTCAGCTCTCAAGAACAGAAGCTACCTCTGGCCTCTCACGAGTCCCTCTTCCTAGACCCTGTTTCCTCGTCAGAGCCCCCGGGGAGGTGCCGCCCGGGCAGGACTCAGCTGCCTCCTTGGCACAGCCTCCCCCCCACCCCCCACCACCACCCCCACCACCACCACCACCCAGCGCACAGACCGAGCTGGGCGCGGGCCAACTCTCACCCCCCCTCCCCTGACCTTGAGGCTCCCTGCTGCTGCTTGCCGCTGCAGCACAGCTGCCACCCCACGTGCCTGGACCTCACACTCTGCCTCCCGCCGTTCTCAAAGCTTAGGCCAAACCTGAAGGCTCCTCGGGAGGGGCACAGTTCCACTCACACCCAACGAGCCACAAAAAAAAATATATGGGACGAGGAGTCAGAGGCTCTGGGTTTAGACCTGACCCTAGTACTAAACACACCGTGTAACCAGATAAGCCACTGCCCCTCCCAGGGAGCTCCCAGTCTGTCTCTAAAGTCCAGGGCTCGTATTGGAAAGAGATAACAGATAGCACTTATATAGCACATACTTGTTGTTAAACAGCTTTATTGAGATATAATTGGTGTGTAATTAACCGCACATATTTAAAGTATACAACTGGTAAGTTTTGACATATGAATACACCTGTGAAATCATCAGCACAGTCAAGATAATGAACACTTCCATCACCCAAAAGTCTCCTTGTCCCCTTTTATAATCCCTCCCTTCTGCCCCCATCCCCAAGCAACCACTCATCTGCTTTCTGTCATTATAGTTTCATCTTAGCACTTACTTTTAGCCCAGAGCACTCTGATGTATATAACTCACTTTATCCTCACAACACAGATGAGCAAACTGAAGCACAGTGAGGTGAAGTAACTTGACCCTCCCTGGTCATGAGCTAGTTACTGAGTGGAAGAGCTAGAATGCAAGCAGCCATTGTGGCTTTATACTGTCTCTCAATAACATCTGGAAACTCAGAACAGGGCCCGGCCTGCAGTTAAGTGTTCCATTACTATCATTACTGCTGTTGCTATTACCAATACGACTCTGCTGGGAAAGCAGAGAAATGTCCTTCTGCTAGTCTGGGTTCTAGCCCCTCACTCCCAAGTTTACCTAACCCCTTGAGAGCAAGAGTTTCCTAGGGTGCTGGCTCTGTGGGCAACAGCAGAGCAACTGGCAATTCTAAAAATCTCTCAGTTCTGCTGTCATGAGAACCTTGAATAAAAATAGCACTGGCCTGAAGTACAGCCTGCCCCCTTTTTGTGGCAGCATCTCCAAGGCTGGTGTACAGGCAGTGACTCACTGCACAGCCCCTCCTTCTGCGTCCAAGGGAGGTGAAAAATAGCACATGAGCTTTAAAACCAAAGACCTTGACAGCAAATGCCTGAAGTTGTATAAAAAAGCCTGACAATGACAAAAGCCTAAGGACGAGTTCATCACCACATTTCCTTGAGGATTAACTGAGGATGGCAAGGTGGGTCCTCTATGTCCATCTGTCCCCCACTTCACTGGATGACAGAGGCCCAGTTCCCAGGAACAGAATCAGGCCCCTCTGTCACAGGGTGGAGGAATCGTCCCCCTGCAAATCCCCTGGCCCTCTAAAACACTCTTACATCTATTTTAATCCACTAGCATCTTTTTAGAACAGCCTCACTTATGCTTTCTTTCTCTATGGAAGGGTTTCTCAACTATGGCACAACTGACAGTTTGGGCCAGATGACTCTTTAGTGTGGAGGCTGTCTTCTGCACTGTAGGATGTGTGACAGTTTTTTTGGCCTCTACCCACTAGGTAACAGTAAACCACTCCCCACCCCAGGTTATGACAGCCTACAATGTCTCTAGACATTCCCTAGGGGACAAAATCGACCCCTTACCCCACCTCCAGCGAGAACCACTCTTCTATGGCAACAATGAAAACGGAACATCTCTTGTCTGTACTAATCTGGAAAATGCTAAAAGTTATTGATTGGACTTTCTGGTTAGTGCAGAGTTGGAATAAGAAGGCAAAGGAAAAATTTTAGGGGGAGGGTTAATTTTGCTGATAAAAATTAAAACCAAAGGGCAGTTTTTTGATTAATTTTTTTAAAGCAAAGACAAAATGGTGAACACTTTCTTGTCAAGTTATCTCAAAGCAAGCTTCTATGTTAACTCTCCTTCTAAGCATGATAAAGAGCAGGGGAGAAGTGTTTTGCAGACTAAAGCAAAATCTATTATTTTTCCACTGAGCTGTGATCTGAGAGCTCTAAGAATAAATAGTGTTTTCTGGTGAAAAAGTATTTTATAAGGTTGCACAGTGATGAGGACAGTGGTTTCAACCCTGACTACACATTAGAACCAGATGGGAACCTGGCCAGCACTTCTCACATTTTGATGTGCACTCCAGTCACCTGGGGCTCCTGTTAAAACTGCAGATTCTGACTCAGTGGGTCTGGGGTGAGGCCTGAGGCTCTGCATTTCTAACAAGCTCCCAGTGCTCTTGTTGATGCCGATGCTGCTGCTCCATGGGCCGCAGTTTGAGCAGTAAGGCCTACACCACCTGAATCAGATGAACACCCTTGATGTGCATTACGAGGTCTTTATTACAATTAGGTGATGCCAAGTTGCAGGTGCAGCAGATAAAGACTAAGATAGTCCCTTACCTGTAAAACTGAAGTGAGGATACCAGTAAAGAGGAAGCAAAGTGGCAACAGAGAGCAAGTGTGGGACAGTGGCCAGAGCACTGGACGAGAGCCTGGAGACCAGGTCCCATCACTCACTCACAGTGTGGCTTTGTCCACCTGAGCCCATTCGTCAGCTATTACTGCGGATGGGGACACTGTGTACTCATACTGGTTCTCTCGTCCTCCCAGGGCCATGTCACCAGATAGGCCAGCGTGCAGCTCTGTCTGCAGCCATTCAAGTTTCAGGCGCAGCACTGGTTGGCGCTACCAGCCCCCACTCCGCATCCTCTTGTGGTATCTTATTCATCCCTCCTGTGCCAGCATCTAGCCCAGAACCTGGCACACAGAACAGCAGTGCAAAGACAGCTGCCATTTTATCAAATGAGCAAAGAGAGGTCCAGAAAAAAAATATGCTCAAGATCCCACCTGAGATTCCTGCTGAGTCTCAAGGCTGAGCTCTCCCCTGGGCTTACGCACTGAAGGGGAAATATATGTATTTCTGAAGTCACTGGGCCCGGCAGATCCCAGAGAAATGGCCCAGGGCTAGTCGTCTGTCCTGGAAAGAGTGGGTGGAAGGTTCGGGCCACAGCACCGAAGAGTGCCTGAGACCTTCCGTAGGGCCCACATCTCCAGGCTTCTTGCTAACAGACTTTTCCTTGGCAGAGAGGACAGAAGGTCCACCACTGATCTGGAACACCCTTCCTCAGCAGGGACCGCTGTACCCTAAACGACTCAATCCTGCCACCACCACGACCAACCATCCTTCCCCAAGCACCTCCTACGCTGCCCGAAAGGGGCAGGCGGCACCAGAAGCACCAACACCCTCTCGCAGTCTCCGCAGCTCGCCCTGCAGCCTTACCGTTTGCGGACGACGTTAATGTTCTTCTCGAGCAGGTCATAGCGGATGTACTCAGTGGGCTCAAAGTGGCTCATGGCCACCTCGGCCCGCTGGCACAGGACCGAGGCCACATGGTACTGCCGCACACCCAGGGCTTTCTGCAAGAAGAAGGACAGCAGCGACTGTCAGTGGAGTATTTAGAGTGGTCCACCCCCGAGAGACAGCGCAGAATGGTGAAAAAAGCAAAGAATTCAAGTGTCAAGAGCTATTCAGTGACTGCAGCCTCAGTTTCCTCACCTGAGGCACAGGGATGAGACAGTAGCCAAAAGGAACACAGCCTGTGGCAGCAGAAAAGTGTAAGGGATTTACAGTCAGAATTTCTGCATCAAAGTCAAATTCTGTCCACTTAAGAAAATCCTCTATCATCTGAGGACCAGAAAAGTTGGGCAATGGGGATACAACCAGCTGTAGCGATCATATAGTTACTGGGAAGGTTGAAGGAGAAAATATATGGACGTTCCCATTAAGCTCTGAAGCACCACCCAAATGGTAGCTGCTATCCTGCCTGCCCTGTAAGTTCCTTGGGGCTTGGGATCAAGCTCTGTCTGTCTTATTCATCTGTATCTGGACGACCTGGCACATATTTGAGATTTAATAACTAATGGTTAAATAGATGCAAAAAATTAGTGAGGAAAACCTATGCATGAGCTTTGGATGTTTCCTCATCCCTTGAAAAGGTGGTGCCTAATCCTGCTCCCCTGGAATGTGCAGCAGACTCACCGACTGACTGGACAGAATGGCACAGTGATACCAGGGGACCTCTGAGGCCAGGCCGCAAAAAGGATTGCTTCTGCATGGCTCTCTCTTTCTTTGATGGCTCTGGCGGAAGACAGTCACCACCGCTGTTAAAACATTTCAGCAGGGCTTCCCTGGTGGCGCAGTGGCTGTGAGTCCGCCTGCCGATGCGGGGGACACAGGTTTGTGCCCCGGTCCGGGAAGATCCCACATGCCGCGGAGCGGCTGGGCCCATGAGCCATGGCCGCTGAGCCTGTGCTCCGCAATGGGAGAGGCCACAACAGTGAGAGGCCCGCGTACCGCAAAAAACAAACAAACAAACAAAAAAACAGTTCAGCAGTCCTCAGAGAGGCCCACCTAGAGAGGAACTGAGGCCTCTTGCCAAAAACCAGCACCACCTTGCTAGGTGTGTAAGCATGCCATCTTGCAAGCCAGTGCTCCAGCCTCAGCCCAAGCCCTCAGATCACCAGGGCCCTGACCGACAACCTGGACTGCAAGTTCTTGAGCGACTCTGAGCCAGAACCACCAGCCAAGACGCTCCCAAATTCCGGGCCCACAGGAACTGTGAGCGAGAAACGTGTATTGTTGTTTTAATCCTCTAAGTTTGGGAGCAACGACTTCTTATGCAGCAACAGATAAGCAACTGTTATGAAGGGGTCTGTATTAGTTCATTTTAAACTGTGGATGACAAACTTCACAGGGTCCATTTTGACCAAGGAGGAATAGATGAACCCAAAGAAGCGACAGAGGGAAAGAACAGTGGTGTTCGCCGTCTAGGAAGTTATACCCTCAGGCAAGGAAAGAGGCAAAGCTCAAGCCACTGCCCCAGGCTCCCTTCTATATGTCACCAGAACATTTAAAGCCAAATCCTGCTGACCTCAGCATCTAAACCAATACAAATGCACAGCTGCCACTCGCTGTTCAGGTGGCCGGCAAGGAGGGCAGACCCCATCAGGAAACAGCACCCCACCCGCCACCCCCGACCTGCCACAGCAGAAGCGACCTCCCAGTGCAGACTGCAGATCCACCTGCCCTCCAGCTAAAAATGCACCAGGGGACCCTCACTCTCTGCCCTACTGGGTAGGGGTGAAGAACTCACCAATCAAAGGACTTTCCTTTTTTTTTTTTTTTTTGGCTTCACAGCATGTGGGATTCTAGTTCCCCGATCAGGGAACAAACCTGTGCCCCCTGCAGTGGAAGTATGGAGTCTTAACCACTGGACCGCCAGGGGAGTCCCAAAGGACTTTCAACAGCCTGTGCAGAGGAGGAATGTGGGACACTGCAGCTGCAGGTACGGCCGCTGCTGCCTGCCGCTACCATTACAGTGGGAGGCCCAGTGCACAGCGGCAGTCGGGGGGACCTGGACTTCAACCTGGCAAGCCATTTACTACCTGAGCCATCTAGGACAATTTACCCTCTCTAAGTAATCATTTCCACACAGTGCTATTGTGAGGGCTAGGAGGTAACAGAAAGTACTTGGCACGGTTTCTATTATTACCCCTGTGCATTTATAAGCATACATTCAGCCTCCTCTGTGTTTTTCACACAAATGAGAAGCTATACAAGTTGTTCTGCAACTTGCTATTTTCATTTATCAACATATCTTTGACATCTTTCCAATGTTTATACACAGATCTATCGCTCTCTTTTTGTAAATTAATTGCCCTTAACTTCAGTTTCCTTAGAAATAAAAATGAGTAGAACAATACCTAGTGTCTGGCCCAGTAAGCGAAACAAATAACTGTAATCATAATTATAGTGTAGAGAAAAGGTAAAGTAGCAAATTCCTAACAGTAAGGGGACAATTAAGCAATCTATGGACACATATCAATACTTAAAAATAGATTTAAGTAATAATGCTGATTGGAAAAAAAAGGACAAAATAATATGTTCATACAGAATACAACTCTGGGATAAAAAAAGAATATTTATTAGTGCCTAGTGTGAGATGAGCACCGTGCTAAGCATCTAATCCTCACAGCCGCCCAGTGAAGCGGCGCCTATGATTAGCCTATTTTCCAAGTGAGGCAACTGAGGCTCTCATGCAGTGACCAAGGCCACAGAGCAGCAACCAGAACCCAACCCAGCCTGACTGGCCCACTTTGTGCTATTGCCCCAGGCCCTCACCCAAAGCTTTGCCCCTAAAATGGAGATAAACTCAATCGTGTTAATAACAAATCAACCAGCTACATGCTCAACCCTTAACCATGACACCGCTCTGCTTACCAACTATGTGCAAGTGTCTGTTCACAACAGCTAGCGCTGCCCAAGAGGACTTCCTGCCATGATGGACACGTCCTAGATCCTCACTGTTCAATACAGTAGCCACCCACCACACGTGGCTGCAGGGCACCTGAAGTGTGCTGAGGTGACTGAGGAGTGGAATTTTTAATGTTACTCAACTTTAATTAAAGTTAAGTTGCCACATGGGACGGCTCAGGTTTATACATTAATAAGGATGGAAAGAGTTTTTAGGAAGCCTGAACAACCTGAATGTTCATCAAGTCAATTTTTCTAAAAAGCTATTTGGACCCCAACCCATGCCAGGAGTTCATCATCCCACACGACCACCAATCCATTTCTGAAAAATTTCAAAATATTCTCCCTCTCTGTTTCCTTGCACAGTCTGCTTTTTCAGGTAGCGGGGGCGTCTGCCCTCTGGACGGTATGAAATAAACGCAACCATCTTTCTCAGGATATTGCTTCCCAGACCTGAGGTGCAACAGAATCTCCTGAGTTTGTTAAAAATACACAATCCTGGGACTTACCTGGCGGTCCAGTGGTTAGGACTCGGCACCTTCACTGCATGGGCCTGGGTTCAATCCCTGGTTGGGGAACTAAGGTCCCGCAAGCCACAAGATATGGCCCAAAACAACAACGTAACCCTAAACCTTACCCAGGTCAATAACTCAGCTGAGGGCGGGGGTCCCTCAACTATCTGAAGACAGGACTTACTGTCCTCTCTAAACCCCCTCTTCTCTAGGCCAAGGGTAGCCCTGAGTTTTTTCAACTTTTCCTTTACGTGGCATGTTTCTAAATCCTGCAATAGCCCAACCATGCCCTGTGCTGAGGGCAAAGGGACAGTCACTTCCTTTGCTGAGCTCATGGCTGTCCACCTCACTGCTGACACATGCATCACTCCCTTCCTCCTAACCCCTCAATAGCCACCTTCCTCACTGACCGCTCAAGCCACACTGTACTACAGACTTGGTTTTCTGTGCAGAGCTCTACCTTAATCTTGGTTTAATTTCAGCACCAGTTTCTGTCTACCTCCAGCCCTCTGTGGTCTACAGGAGTCCGGGTCAGTCACCCCAGGTCCTGACAGGCTGGCCTTCCCAGTGCATGTCAGCCACACACACAGTAAGCACAACTCTCAGGCTGTTCATTTAAGTCTCAGTACAAATGTGACCCATTCCAGGCCAGGCTCCCCAGGGTGGACGTTTGGTCAAGCCAACAGTGATCTATTTAGTGACAATCCCCAGGTCCGGGTCTTCAACCCACAACAATAACCACCTGACTGAAATGTCACTAAGCGATCGCTTCTGTTTCGCGACTAGGGACAGCCTGACTGACCCGTCAGTTGCCCTACAGAAATCAACACTCACACTCCGTTTCACTAATCTAATCGCAACAAAAAAGTAAGAAGATGTTAGCCTGGCTGTGAGACCTTAAGCAATTCACTTTGTTCCTCCAGGCCTGAGTTTTTCACACCGGTAAAGGGTGAAATCTCAGCCCTGTTCCCTGCTTCAGAGCCGAACTGTGAGAGGTTTAAAGTGTATGAAATGTCATGTATAACTCTGAAGAGGCTGATTTCACTAATATGCTTACCCAAAGACTGACTTCAAGGGCAAGGGTACCATGTATCATTCATTCAGGACCACATATATCTCACATATAAAATGAAGACTAGGCTATGGGTAGTCTTAGAATAAAAATAAAACAGCCTTACTTATTAAGTACCTGCTCCATGCCAAGCATTTTCTGTGCCCAATTTTGAATTCCATAGTGGTACAAGGTAATTGTTATTCCCATCTTACAGATTTGGAAACTGAAGATCATAGAGGTTAAGTCAGAAATCTTACATGTGACAAACAGTGAATCCAGGATGCAAGTGCAGACCCGTCTCTTTCTAGGATAAGCCAATTCCCCTAGATTCTGCTACCCGCTAACCCCACATAGCCTATCCTTTCCCATTGGAAGGTAGCATGGTGTGATGGTTCAGATTGAAGACCTGTAGTCAGATTGCCCAACCCAGCAGCATCACTAACCCGCTGTGGCCCTAGAGAAGTTATTTAGCCTCACCAAGCCTTAGCTTCCCCACAGAGAAAATGGAGATAAACGTGTTAACAGTAAATGAAATAGT